ATAAGACACAAATAAATGCAAAAATATTCTACGTTCACAGGTTGGAAGAATTAATATTGTTAAAATGTCCATACTACCCAAAGTGATCTACAGATTTAGTGCAATCCCTGTGAAAATTCCCACGGCATTTTTCACAGAAATAGAACAAACGATCCCAAAATCTGTAGAGAATCACAGAAGACCCTAAGTAGCCAAAGCAGTCTCAAGAAAGAAGAACAAAGCTCGAGGCATCGTGCTCCCTTGATTTCAAACTATGCTACAAAGCTATAGTAATCAAAACTGTGTGGTGTTGACATAAAAACAGATACATGGATCAATGTAACAGAATAGAGAGCCCAGAAATAAAACCAGGCATTTATAGCCCATTTTTGACAAGGCAGCTAAGAATATACAATAGGGAAAGGATATCCTTTTAATAAATGGTGTTAGGAAAACTGGATATCCACATACAAAAGAATAAAACTGGAGCCCTGTCTTGCAACATAATCAAGAAACAAATCAAAATGGATTATAGCTTTGAGTGTAAGACCTGAAACCATAAAACTCCTAGAAGAAAACATAGGGCATAAGTTCCTTGGCATTGGTCTTGACAATGAGTTTTTGGATTTGGCAACAAAAGCAAAAATAAATGAGTGGGACCACATCAGATTAAAAAGCTCTGCACAGTAAAGGAAGTCATCAACAACATGAAAATGCAACGTAGGGAATGGGAGAAAATATTTGCAAACCACATATCTTATAAGGGGTTAATATCCAAAATATATGAGTAATTCCTACAACTCAATAGCAAAAAAATCAAATAACCCAATTAAATAATAGACACAGGACCTAAATAGACATTTTTCCAAGGAGACGTACAGATGTCCAACAGGTACATGCAAAGGTGCTCAGCAGTACTAATTATCAGGGAAACGTGAATGAAAATCACAGTATCACCTCACACCTGTTGGAATGTCTATTATCAAAAAGACAAGAGATAATAAATGCAGGCAAGGATGTGAAGAAAACGGAACCATGGTGCACTGTTAGAAATGTAAACTGGTACAGCCACTATGGAAAACTATATGGAAGTTCCTCAAGAAATTAAAAATAGAACTACAGGATGATCAAGCAATCCCACTTCTCGTTAAGCAGTCATCGAGCACATAGTGATGTTTCAGTAAATGATGGACTGCACATAGAGGACATTGGTTCTATAGATTAGTACCATATAACCTAGATGTGTGGTAGGCTATGTCATCTAGGTTTGTGTAAGTACACTCTATGATGTTTGCACAATGGCAATATCACCTAATGATGCATTTCTCAGAACATATCCCCATTATTAAGCGACACGTGACTATAGAGCAAAGGAAATGAAATCATTATTTCAAAAAGATATCTGTACTCCCATGTTCATAGCAGCATTATTTACAACAGCCAAGGTATGGAAACAACCTAAGTGTCCCTATACAGATGAGTGGATAAAGAAGATGTGATATATATACAGTTAAATACACACATACATAGATACAGTGGAACATTATGCACCCGTAAAACAGAAAGAAATCCTGTCATTTGCTACAACACGGATGAACCTGGAGGGCATTATGCTAAGTGCAATAAGTCAGAGAAAGAAATACCACACGGTATCACTTATATGTGGAATTAAAAAAACTTTTGAACTCATAGAAATAGAGTAGAAAAGTAGTTGTCAAGGGCTGAGGGAGGGCGGAGAAAGAATACAAAGTATCGATTATATGATGATTAAAGTCTGAGGAAATAATGTATAACGTGGTGACTACAGTTGATAACACTGCATTGTATAATTGAAATTTGCTAAGAGAGTAGAACTTAAATGTTCTCACACATACAATAATGTCTATGTGAGATAATGAATGTGTTAATTGGATGAGTAGGGGCCTCTAGAGATATATGTGTATATCCAATCATCATGGTGTACACCTCAAATATCTTACAATAAATCAGTTACACCTCAGTAACTCTGAAGGAGGGGGGAGGTGGATGGATAAAGAAACTGGTATATCCATAAAATGAAATAGTACTCAGCAATATGAGGGAACAAACTATGGATTTCCACAACAATATGGATGAATCTTAAATATATTTTGCCAAGTGACAGAAACCATTTGTACGCCATTCTGGAAAAGGGAAAAAACTATGGATGGAAGACAAATCAGTAGTTTCCAGGAATTGGTGGGGGAGAGGAATTGACTAAGAGAGGGCAGCAGGAGTGAATTTGGGGGGGGGGGGTAGAAGTGTTTTGTCTGGTATTGCGGTGGTTGATGCATGATGGTCTGCATTATCTAATCTCATAGAACTGTGCATTAGAAGGAGTACATTGTGTGTATGCAAATTTTTTAAAAACCAGGCAAGATATGGGGAATGCAAGATAGAATTCAGACTATAGCAAATTAATTTGTTTTCTAAATGAATTGCATAACCACTGTGAAGAGGGAGAAGAAGAAAAGAGCTGACTTAAGTAACTTTGGACAACTGTTTTGACTGAGTACTCTAAGACAAAACACTGTGCACAAACACTGTACTCTAGTAGATAAATTTGTTTCTCACTTTGGCATGGGCTAGCCATTCTGGAACTAGTTTATATGTTTACTAGGGTTGAACAAATAAACATAATTTAGATAATGCAAGCTGGGTTTCTCACTGTTGAAGAAGTACAAATAAGGAAAGGGTGAGGGCGGGCTGGAATGAACCTTGTGCTGGCTTGAGTTGGAGAGATCAGTATGAGCTCAGAGGAAGGGAGAGAGAGGGATGGATAGATGGATATACAAATAAATATAGATGTGCGTATATACATGGACTAGCATTCTTATATATGTCTCCCTAGGTGTGTCTTTGGAGAGGACCTAGAGGTAGTGAGCACACCTTGTGCCTGAATTCGGTTTCCAAATACCATTCTCTAATGAAAAGAACTGACTCCTTGGAGAAGTGGTTGCTTCCAGGGCTGGGACAGGGGAAATACAAGATGAACTTGGGGGCATCTTCTTGTGGTAACTGAGAAAGGAAGTACTTGAAAAACAAAAAGAGTGAGGCATGTTGAAAGGATACAGAAGCCTACTTGTTAGAACTCCCAATGGCCAAGACTGGAAAAATTGGGGCAACAAATTAGGTAATGATAGTGCTTGATTATAACCCAAAGAATAAAATAAGTATCCATGTGTCCATACTTAGAGAAGAATTTCAATTAGTAGTGTAGAAGAGATGAGGGAAATAAAAAATCAACATTAGATCACCACAGTAATAATAGTTGTCATAGGCAGGATCCACTGAGGAATGCTAAAATTAGTGGTCAAAATTTTAAGGAGAAACAGGATATTTTCATAGTCACAAAATATCTCCCCCAAATCATTTACAAAGAAAAATAGTAGCTTTACAGTATAGAAATATGCCAGATCCAACCTTTACCAAGTGGTCAAGGGTAACGTGGCCAGTAGTGAAACACGTACCCCCTGATCTGATGCACTGAGAGGGCACATCACCTGTGCATCCTTCCTGAAAATGTACAACCTAAATCTAATCGTGAGAAAACATCATACAAACCTAACTTGGGGATATTCACAAAAGAACTGGCCACTACTCTCCAAAGTGTCAAGGTCATGAAGGTCAAGGAAAGACTGAGGAACTGTCACTGACTGGAGGAGACTGAGGAGATGTGACATCTAAGAGCACTGTGGGATCATGGGTAGGACCCTGGAACACAAAACACATTAATGAAAAGCTGGTAAAATCTGAATAAAGTCTGAAGTTTAACTCATAGTGTTATACCGTTAATTTTTTAATTTTGACATTTTTAGTATGATTATGTAAGATGTTAACCTTCGGGGAAACTGGGTGATGGGCATATGGAACTCTGTGTACTACCTTTGCAAATCTAAAATTCTCTGAAAATAAAATTGAAAGTAAAATATAGGTGTTTAAGAATCTGGTGTTATTTTCATGTCTCACAATTACTTATCAAATACCAATGGTGAAAAAGGCTATTTTTATCTCATCATCCAATAAACACGATGATTGTTAATTTTGTGGTTTATTTTAAATGTTTTGGTAGTGGTATTTTGGTTGAAGTTTTAATTAAAAGTTTCAGTAATGAAAATTTAATAATCAATGAAACCAGAGATGATTCAGGAAATTAAGACAGATGAACTAAGACAAATGCTGTTTTTATGGTTCTGTGTTTTCTGGCAGTATATCAGAGCTTATTAACTTTCTTCTGCTCTTCTCTCCTCTTTATTAATTGAATGTGACCATCCATTTTCTGCCTCCTTCATACTTAATGTATGTTATAATCTCAGAGTTAAATTTGCCCTGCTTGAAGGAACAGGAATTCAGAAAAGAGAGGACAACTAGGGTTTTTTTCAGTGGCTAATAGGGTACCCCACACTTTCATGGCAGTTGAGAAGTAGTGGTTAGAAGATGCCGAAGCACTGTTCATGGTGCTGCCGTCCTAACCCATCAGTAGCTTTCCGTGGGCTTTGGTATTAGAGATTAACCTAGTTATTTGGCAGATATAGTCCAATACTGCTCTATAATTACTTGTATTCTGTATGCCTGGTGCTATGCTAGACAGTGCAGAAATCAAAAATCAAAATCATGATCTCTGCCAAGGAACTCCCACTCGATTGAAAGAAGACAAACCTGAAGGCCCTGTAGTGGGTGGAAAGAGCAGAGGTTTTAGTTTTACAATCATATCCTCACTATCTCTTCCTTTAATTGCTACATCTGTGGCCTTGGGTATTTATTTAAACTCTCTGAGTCTGTTTCCTTATCCGAAATAGAGGATACTAGTATCAGTCTTCCAAGATTGTCATGATCCTTAATACCTGGCACAAAGGAGACACTTAGTAAATGATTGCTGATGTTATCATGGTAGTTGTTATCAAGACTGCTAGACCACTGGAAAACACGATAGTTTATTTCACTAAACAACCGTTCATTGAAAATTGTGGTAGGTGCTGAATCTTTGTGTTTTCTCCCTTTAGAGATGATGAAGAGAAAAAAAAATCTCCATCAGAAGGTACTGATGAGAAGGCTAATGGAACGCATCCAAAGACCATCAGTCGTATTGGGAGTACTACCAACCCATTCTTGGACATTCCTCATGACCCAAATGCTGCTGTGTACAAAAGTGGATTCTTGGCTCGGAAAATCCATGCAGATATGGATGGAAAGAAGAGTAAGCATTTTCTATTTCATTTATTTCATCTTTAGGCTCAAAATTTAAAGTGAATTTATCTGGAGTGAGGTCAAGAATGAAGAAAAATTATGTTTTTATCTAGAGAAGTATGATTGAAGTTTTATAAAGTCTAATCCTAAGTCAGAAATCCATTGTGGCATCTGGTCTTCTCCAAGTAGAATTATAGGACTTCAGAAATGGAAGACTTCTTTCAAATTATTCATTCCTAAGCTTTTATTCACCTGTTTATTCTTGCCTTCAACAAATAATTTTGAGTACCTACTATGTGCTAGGCATCAGAAATATAGTAGTGAAGGGATGGACAGGGTCCCTGTCTTCATGAAGTTTACATTTCTGGTGGTTGAGGGAAAGGTTGAATTTATAACACACAGAATAATCAATAGTGTAAGGTCCCAAAGACAAAGCAGGAAGGAAAAGAATTGCGATCCGAGCACATGTGGAAGGAGTGGCCTTTGTGGAAGATGGACAGGTGCAGTGTAGGCGTGTGTAATATAATTAGTATTGGGGAGTTGGAGGAGTCCCATCTGACTGCTCTGTGAAGTAGGAGACGTGATTATCTACTGACATAATGGTGTTTGAAGTTTGAGAGGAATGAAGTATGTTTCTATGTTTAGAGTATTCTTTGCAGAGAGTGAAATAGCAATTTGATATAGTTGAACAGGCTAAGATAAGCTGATATATATGCTCAAAATTAGTATGCTATATCCCTAGGGTGTCCCTACCCACCTACAGACTCAGACATGCAGTGCTAAGATGGATAGCACCACTGTTGCCTGGGCACTTTTTCTTAACGTGTTAGCATATTCTATTAGGTTACTGTCAAGAGAAACATTGTGATACAGTGGCTTTGACACTGACCTCTGACGCTGAGCAAGTTTCTAACGTTTCCCACTTCTTTAGGAGAAGCTCCTGCATTCTTCCTGTGTGCCTATGCACTAGCCTGCTAGGTGCCACATTTCCTCCGACAGTGCCCTGTCAGGATTCTGGCAGTTGCAATGACAGTAAGTCTAACTAGCTTAGGAAAAATGGGCAAAGACACACCTGAAGATGCAGGACTGTCACCAGGACACTTTCTCCATTTCTCTCTCTGTTATTTTGGATGTCAGCTTTATTCTTTGAAACAGAACTCTTTTACATGGCTGCATATGTGATTATTAGCAGCACTATAGAGCATGTGTTCAATGTTTTCACCAAAAAGGATTCTCCCTCCTCCCTAACTTCCAATTTAGTATATTCTGGGACAGGACTCTGATGCATGTGACTGGGGGGATGGAATTCTGTGATTGTTTGCAGCAGCAAGAGGAAAGTTCCCTCAAAAAGGAGTAAGATACAGTTCTGAGAGAAAGGGACTTCTTGGCAGACAAAGCAATGGATACTAGTCTGTTCCCAGCACATGCACACATCCTTTCTCCATACATTGAGTTCAAACAATGCTTTTGCTGAGCATAGTACAATTTTCCGTTTATAACCACAGATCTGCTCATCTTTATCCCACATGCCCTGTCTAGCTGTGGCTCCCATCTCTAGGGCTAAAATTTGCTCGTTGGTGTCCATTCTCCTGAGGTAGGATGTACCTTCACTCTATGGGCTAAATGAAAAATATAGAAATATGTGACATACTTCATATAAAGTACTAGGAGCAAAAACCAGAATAACTGCAATTTAAAATGCCAATTCAAAAAAAGGTGAAAAAGGAAACAAGACAGCTGTCACTTATTCAGAGTCAGTGACTGTATCCTCTGGACAAGGACAACAGAGTTAACCTGCTTGAGCATATTTTCAGTGACCCACTTCCCTAGCAGTTGATTGATGAACCTGGTTAACTTATTCCAAAGCGTCCCCAGCTTCAGCCTATTGGTGAAATTTTCTTTGTCCATGTTTTCCTGGGCCACCTCAGGATTATTGGAGAGAATTCCCCTGCTGGAAGCTCTGCTCCCTTAGCAGCCCACTACATACATGCTAGTCTAGGTGCCGAACCTGGGAGTTGCTTAGCGTTTGAGCCATCACAGACCTCTCGTGCCAGGCTGGAGGTCTTCCTGCCAGTGAAACTCCTTTAAGCCCTTAGTTAACTCCCTGGAGAACTTCTGGTTGATTAGGGCGGTTTTAAGTATCACGGGCTTTTGTCTTTTTAGCAACTTAGAAAGTTCTGCCTATTACCTGCCACTGCTTCTGATTCTGCTCCTGCCTCAGAACTCAAAAATAGATGGATTGAGTAAGATGGGGCTAATTGGGCCCCAGTCTCTAGGTGTCATTCCTGCAGTGCTTTATCACTGGGGGCTTTTTCACCTCTGCCTTTGAGTTTTAGGAGGAGTCTTGACGTTTCAACCTTCTTTAATTCCTCAGGCTCTTCCTGGATATTCCCATTCCAACTTTCCATGATTTTTCAAATCACTTTAGTGCGGGCAGATAGTTCAATCTTTCTGGTACAGGAAAGGGCATAATTTCTAAGGATAATTTACATACACTAAAATTTACCAATTTAAAGTGTGTAGTTTAAGTTTTGAAAAATGTATACAGTTGAGTAACCACCATCGCAATCAAGATATATAGCATTTTCATTACCCGTAAAACTTCCTTTGTACTTTTTTCAATTAGTTCCTTCCCATTTTCTCCCGGCCCATAGCAACTCCTTATCTGTCCTTCGATGCTATACTTTTGCCTTTTCTAGAATTTCAAAAGATGGAAGCATAGATATTGTTTTGTGCCTGGCTTCTTTCACTTGGTAGTGTTCCTTACAGATTCATCCATGTTGCGGTGTGCTGTGTGAATTTGTAGTTTGTCTCGTTTCATTGTTTGGATATCCCACAGTTCACACATTCACCAGCTGGACATTTGGGTTGTTGCCATTTTTTGGCAATGATAAATAAGCCTGATTGGACATTCACACACAAGTCTTTGTGTGTACATATGTTTTCATCTCTTTTTCAGAAGTTACCTAGGAGTGAGGGAGTGAGATTGCTGAGGCGTATACTAAGTGTATGTTTAACTTTATGAGAAACTTCCAAACTGTCTTCCAAAGTGTCTGTACCATTTTGCATCCCTGCCAACTGTGCATGTTATATCCTCTTGATAAAATGATCACTTTGTCATGAAATGACCCTCCTCAACCCTGGTCACATTCCTTATTTAGAAGTCTACTTTGTCTAATATTAATATTTTGACTCCAGCTTTCTTTTCACTTTTTCCATGATAGACAGGAATCTTGTCTAGCTTTTTAATTTTAATCTGTCATCTTGTCTTTAAAATTGTTTTATATACCATATTGGTGGGTCTTGCTTTTTGTTAAACTGACAATCTGTCTTTTAATTGGAATGTTTAGACCATTTACATTTATGCTGATTACTGATATAGTTGACTGTAAATCTGCCATCTTGCTATTTGTTTTTTACTTATTCCGTCCTTTATTTTTTCTCTTTCCTCCCTTGTTTGGGATTTTGTGTATGTGTGTGGCCAGGGCGGGGGAGTAGGCTTTGTCTTTCTTCACTATTGGCGTAGTAGCTATGCCTCTTTGCTTAATAATTTTAGTGATTGCTGTAGGGTTTACAATATAATCTTTGACTTGTCACTTCCTCTGTAGTTTGAGACCCTTATCACAGGCTACTTCCCTTTCTCTTTTCGTAGTGTTTATGCTATTGTCATATATTTTAATTATGTATCTTATAAAACCCATAGTACATTGTTATCCTTTTTGCTTTAAACAGAAATGTAGTTTTTACTTTTACCCTCATGTTGACCATTTCTGGTGTGCTGGGTTTCTGTTTACAGTCCCAGGTTTCCATTTAGCATCATTGTTTTTTTCTGCTCAAATAATTTCCTTTAATATGTCTTTTAGTAAACTTCTGCTGGCAAGAAATGAGAATGAGAATGCTTTATTGTTTTTTTAAAAATTTGTATTATACCTTAATTTTAGGCATTCATGTTTACTGGTGTACAATTTGTTGAGCATTTTCTTTTTCTTTCAGTAATTTAAAAATATTGCTCCACTGTTCCCTGCCCTGCATGGTTTCAGACAAAAAATCTGCTGTCATTCTTTGCTCCTCTGTACCTAGTGTGGTTTTCCTCTCTCTGGGTGCTTTCAAGATTTTTCTCTTTGATCTTCAGCCGTTTTAGTATGAGGTGCCTTACTATGGTTTTCTTTATGTTTTTCTTGTCTGGTGTTTGTTGAAGTTCTTGGATTCATTGGTTTATATTTTTCCCCAATTTTGGAAATTTTTCAGCCATTATTTGTATAGCCCTATCCCTCTCTCTGGGACTTTAGTTTCCTATGTTATACCACTGGATGTTACACGAAAGGCTCATTGCAGCTCTGTTCAATTTTTTTCCAACTCTTTTTTTCTCCTTTCAGTACTTGCCTTTAATAATTTTTATTGCTTTGTCTTCAAGTTTACCACATTATTTTTAATTTCTTATATGGTATTTTTTTATCTTTGAAACTGCAACGTTAATTGTTTTGTATCTTCCATTTCTAGTTTGCATTTTTCCTAATATCTTTGACCATATTTTCATATTTACAATACTGTTTTGAAGTCCTTCTCTTTGAATCCCTTTCTCTGTCACTTCTGGGACTGTTACATTAATTTTCCTGCTGGTTATAGGTCATACCTTCCTTTTTCTTTGCATTCATAGTAATTTTTATTTGAATGCCACATACTGTGACATTATTCAGGGCTGAATTTAGTTGTATTCCTTTAAAGAATGTTGGCTTTTATTCTTTTGTGCAGATAAGTGACATGTAAATTAGCTGAATCCTTCAGAGGCTTGCCTTTACCTTTTGTCTCGGTGGATCCAGAGCAGCCTTTTTCTGGGACTCATGCAGTTCCATTACTGAAGCGTTACACTCATCGTTGAACTCTGTCCGAAGCCCTAGTGTTAGCAAGTCTTTCTACTCTGTCTGTTGAGATCACAGACTGTTCCCAGCCCTGTGTGAGCTCCTGAAATGGTTCGTTCCACTACTTATTGGTGGCTCCTTCTCATGTAGT